CTGGGAGTACATAGCAGCTAATACACACTGCAGCCGTTTATACAGATGTAATGACCAGACGTCTCAGAAAAGACCATGCACTGTAATCAGATAATCACAAAAAATACTTTTATACATTGTGCATTTATTAATGACAAAAATCCAACTACATAATCAACACATTAGCCAATACCACAGATATAACAAAAACATTTCCTTGAAAGGATACAAGCCAGAAAGTGTCTGATAAACTCATGATCAGACGGTTTCACCAACTGAAAAAAACAGTCTCGGAAAGCTTCAAACCAAGGTGCAGAACCTAACAGGGAATTATAACAAATACATCACCTACTTCATCAAAAGCTAAAATTTTTTAATATCCCAAAGCCCCAGGAAAGATTTAATCAGTAGTTTAATCAGGAGTGCAGTCTTCATATACTATCAAATGTACATGTACGAATAACAAGAATTGAGCTTGACATCACACTGGGGGATATTGTTTTGGGCCCAGTTGTTTGAAGACTGACTGGTGCCAACCCAGGCTTAAATCAAGTCCACGTTTCTTTATTCCTATGTTCTAAAGCCTTTTTTGGGATAATTTTCTCTACTCTTTTAAGAGCATTCAATCATTAAATTGTGAACAAAAAGAGTTATATTGAATTTTCTTTCAAAGCTTTCAGATCTAAAATCAGATTTCACACTAATCCTGGGTTATCTTGACCCAGCTTTGAACAACCCAGCTGTGGTACATGACCAAATTCTTTTGAATATACTGCTAAGTAGTGAATGATTATCCCTTGTTGAAAATTTCAGACCAAAGGAGTGAAATTTGATAAATTATTGCAAAACAATGACACAAAACTCACCTCTTGCCTGAGCATCAGGAGTCAGGGAGCTAGGATCATTGTTTAATGGCTGTGTCCGTGATACAACTTCACTCAACAATTTGTTCACAACATGCTGAGGTGGGTGAGTGGCAGACATTTCAACTAGTCGGATATGCCAGTTTTTCACTGGATGGATCACACCAGAGGGATCTCTCATATGAGCTAAATGTAAAAAACATCAGGTAATACATGATTATCACTAATCTGTGATTAAATTAATTTGTTCACCTTTGGGAATCAACATACCACTAATCCACTATTGAAATATTTAATAATCAATTAATACTAATATCTGGCATACAAGTCCTAGATTAAACGAAAAACATTATATGTGTAATGCCCATATACAAATGCCTGAGAGGACCTGTAAAAAGCTGTAAAGCCTTCCATAAGGTCCCACAAGATGCCAATGCAAGAAGAAAGCAAAACAAAAAAAAGAGAAAGAGCAGCAGCCATTTGTCAACCATTTCAAGCCCAAAGGTGATTGACTTGTAACTTCTCCTTACAATTCAAATACGTTACATAACATACAGGTAAGGAGAATAGAAAAGCTTATCAGCAAAAGAGTGGTATGTTGTTATGGAGCCAAATTCCCCTGTGTAATTTACAAGAGACTGTCTAGCAGTCAAAAGGGAGAAATACTACTTGGGTCTTGGGACTTAAAGGCTTAAAATACTAATAAACTGAGTGGGGTCAGGCCAGAGGAGAAGATATTTGGCTCTTGCCAATAATGTACTGGAAAATCTCTATTTTGAATGTACATGGCACTCATGACAGCCTGTGCAGCAAAGATGAAAAACATAGAGGACAACATCACTGCATTTAGTTCAAATGTAATCACACTGAGCCAACTCTTTTTGATAACTGCCTCTCTTGCCATGTTTTCATTTGACTAGGGGTCATAAATTTTCCCAAATTTTTATCTTGCACAATTTTTTTCTGAAGGAAATTGTTTTTGCGGTAAAGTTTCCGCACAGCCCCATACTATTGTATAACAAATCTGTTTTCCCAATGGCAATGTATTGTTTTGGTCATTGTTTTCTCTATTCAAGAACTGAATACATAATGTGGTACGGGGCTGTGCGGAAATTTTACCAAAAAAAAACCCGAGATTCTTATCGGTTTTACTTGTTGTGCAGTTTTGTTTTAATTGACAGATCAAACAGATGTTTAGTTCGTATTTAGTTGTACGTTTAACAAGCGATTTAATTACTCCATCAAATCACTCTCTAACCGTCAAAAAATTGTTGGTTAATCATTAAAATAAGAATATTTTTCTTGTTTCTGATCAATAGAACTTTTACAGTGTAACTCTCCATATTTAAATTGCTTCCGTCTACGCTACGTAAATGTACACCCTCCTACCACAATCCTGTGTAATCTAAACTGAAAAATTTGTAATAAAATCAATCTCATACATTTGTAATAGTTAAGTCGAACGGTAATCTGATAAGGTAGAGCATATAATTATCCTTATTTTATTACCTTCACTTGTAAGATGGCAGAATGGACGGACCATTTCCACAAAACTCAAGTTGTTCTTCTGAGAGACTTTCTCGGCATCTTCACTGCACATAACGGCAACCATAGGGCAAAAAGCGCTTTGTATAAACTCAAAAGCGCTTTGCGTGCACTGTGCCATCGCCAGGAGAAGAATACTGAGCTTAAAAAATAAGTTCTTCTACTAAAATCTGGAATTTACTGCATTTTGAAGGAGTCTTCGAAAGGTTGAAACCATCAAGATGACCCGTCTTCCGTCCGCCATGTTGATATTCAATACCACCATTGCGCACGTGCAAATTATCAAGCCCATACTGCATTGCAGGGCTGGTGGAGCTGATGATGGAGAACGTCAGGCGGAAATAATTAAAACAGTAATCTAACTTGTACTCAACTGAAATATAGTAGTCTGCAATCAGGCTATTTAGCCAACATGGCCACTCTATTACCCCAAGATTGATGATTTCTTGCCAATGCTGACACCGTATATGACGCATATACTAACGAACGAGGCATCTGTGTTTTGGACTATTTAGCACTTTCTTGTGAATTTTTTGGGCGTTTTAGATGTTTTTTCTCCCGCAACTAATTAGACGCGAGTACAGAAGTAACCATTTTTTTTTTCCGGAAAGCTTGATTCATGAGCTATTTTGAATCTTCAGCCGAGGAGACCCTAAAATGATCTTGGAAAACACACTTACTTTCTGATTGAAACCGCGTGTTGTGATCGTACGTTTGCATCATGAAAAAAGTAGATAGAACGTTTCAAAAATTTTCGGCTACAATCACGGTCTTATGACAGAGAGGTGGGGAAGGGGTGGACAAAGGCGTGTAATTTTTCTCCTTCCATGACCTACTCTCCTGTCTCCCGCCTTGCATCACACAACGCTGCTGTGTGCTGATTAAAGGTAAACAAATTTTTGCATCTTTGAATTTATCTTCCGCCTACAGCCTTTTCGCAGCCCTGTATTCTCGATTTCCAAGATTTCTGTCCTTATTACCCCTTCCTCAAGATACTGGTATACCTTGCGGTGCGTTGTTTCTCCTTATATGTATTGCCATACCCCGCCTGTCGAACAACTTGGAATGCTTGACTCATGCACTTAAATCAAGGACTAAAGTGTTTGCACAAAAAAAAAATTTTTAAAAAATGCTCCTAGCATTTTAATTTTCTCTTATTTCCGAGCTGAGCATCGAAAGCATAATTATCCGATTATTTGACACATTGCCAACATTGTGTTGGGTAGGTTATTTGACACATTGTTCATTTGTTTACACTGAAACATCTCATTTCGTATTATGCAAATATTTGCTAATCACACTTTATCACGATGATTCTTATAAAACTCTGCTGTCAACCTAGATTGTGGGCAATAGTACTAAATTACTTTGTTTGCAGAAAGATAAAAAGGCAAAAAATCTTGATAACAGCTGCCTACATTGATATTCTCTGGCTAAAACTTAAATTATGCACTACATATTTCGACGGCCAAAACATTGACCATAGGCGATTGGTAGGTCGTCAAATGTAAATGAAAGGTTCCCATCACAACTTAACAAAGAGCCGAGAAAATGATCAATTGATACAAGTAGCTTACAAGTACGGTAGTTTCATCAACAAAGAACACTAAGTCCTCTTTTAAAAAATTTATGCTGAAAATTTTAAAACGGGAAACAATGACACAATTATTTTAGTTGTGCTATGTTAATTTTTCAGCACCATTGACAGTAAGATATGAAATATTTATAATTTTAAATAAATCTGCCAAAGAACTATCACTGTTTTTAGGCAGCAATCATGTCAGACACTGGATGTTCAAGATTTTAATGAAACTAAAATTTCATTTGCTTCGCGGATAGCAGTTTTAGCCTGACCGAGAAATTGGAAGCGTCGGTTGGCATTCGCGGTACGGTATTGCAATTCTACTCTACTTAAAATGTAGCTCTAAATTCATCCTTTGAACAACAACATCAGGTGATCTGCCAAAAAGATTAGCGATGATTTGCATACTGACAGATCTTTTTAGGGCGGAAATAAAAATATGAAGAGTGAAGTAGGCGATCCGCTAAGAAATGTCGATTGTGTATCGCCCATAACCCAAAAAGAATTCAAATCAGTTTTGTCTAAAAACTGAGGCTCATCGAATTTTCTTCCAAGAACTTCCCAAGAGTGTACACCTTAGTCTTAAGTATGCTACCTTTTATTCTGACTTGGGTGTTTTGTAGTCGCGTATGTGGTTAAATAATTCATGTTATATCTTGGCCCATTTATGCAACAGACAGAAAAGTTTCTTTCTACTTGAGTGACAGTTCTTGAAAACAAAGAATGCACGCAAACGTCTTCAGCCTTTGCTCAAAATCTTTTCTGTCGCATCGACAGACGCAATATTGTTACTTATGATTATCTGCTGGTTTACATTTGGAACATGTATACCTGTTATTTTGGCTATGCGAACTGGCATCTACAACAGTCTTATTAATTAAACTTGACAAGATCTCTCGGGATTAATAAGGATTTTTCGCTATCATTTATTTGCGTTTCCAAAGATTGGTTCCAAATGACAGATGTGCGCGTTACACAGGTGAAATTTATGCATATTCCTAACACTTTTCGTTGGCAGGAAACCTTTTGTTCGCACGCATAATTTGTTATAAAATACCCAGCTAGGCCGAGATTATTTATTCGGGGCTGTCTTTTACTGCGGAGTGCATCAAAATCGAAGCAAAGAATATCCGATCAATTTCCTACCCATCTCCTTTCATCAAGAACAGGTTTACACTCTCCTGTCAAAATGGTAAGTCGCCTTAAAGGAAAGAAATTGTATAGATAGATGTCATTTTTTAAATGTACGCTATTTATGCTTCCTATAAATCTACTAACTCCGGATCCAGGCTAAGTTCACCATCGGCGGCCTCGATGATGTTCCACTCACTTACGTTCAAGTTTAAAATATAATACCGCTGCGTCTTCGCTTGTTTGCGCTTCATACAGCAGTCGCTGATTACATGAAACAAAAAGACAAGGATAAGAAAACGAAGATTCGCAGTATGTCATCGTGAAATTGAAAACACTCAATAATATAACTTCATCTGTGGCTATTAGGCATCGCTGATGCTCGCTCGAGTGGGAGTGTCTGTTTCAAATCGTCTAGTTGTGGGAAAACCACCAACAAACATCCAAAAAATATTTCAAGTTCAAAATCGTGATCGCGACTACAGCGCGCTGAATTAAATCGTAGTTATACCTATTAAATGTCTTGGAAACTGGCAAATTTTGCATTAGGGAGCGGTGTAAGATATGTTACTTCTTAAATTTTAGATCACGCCCACTTCGTTTACCTTGTATGATTTTATCGGTGGATTGAGTCTATACAACGAAAAAACAAACCCGTCTTGACATATGAATCAAAGAGACCGTCCATAATACCTGTATCCTTTTCCATAATTCATTGTTAAAAACAGAAAGCGTAAGAGATGGCGGCCATGTATTTATCGCCAAAATTGTCCGAAAATTGTATCACACAATTGGCTTTACATCTTCAGTTGGTATTGAAGCATGACGAATTAGGCTAGAAACCCATAAAACATAATTTTCAAAGTAAATTTACCCCAGAATAATCTAGTGTTTTAACTTAAAAGAGGCTTAATTTTTTTAATTTCAAATTTTTAAAATACTGGCGGACGCGGAAGTCCATTTCCGGTGATTCGCGCTGTTTTGGGCTCCACAGCATTTTCATCGAGCCGAGATGAAAAGGAATTAAAAAAAACATGGAAAACATATTTCGCTATACCCTTGGTTAATAATTAAAGTTGGTGACCATATTGTATTTCCCGCAGGCCCGGGGAAACAAATTAAATCTTCTTCATTATCACTCGTTTTTCAGCGCCTTGCCTTTTTTTAAGTAAATCATTAAAAATATTCAAAACCAATACACAGAAAAAGATTTTCAGACTTCAAGTTAAAATGTCGTTCTTAGGGCATAAAAAAAGTTTCCAAGATCATAACAAAACACTTTTCACTTGAGAAAACCTGGCGAAACATTTTCTAAAATATATTTTCATCTCTTAATAACAAAGTAGTTGAATTCAAATGCGACAAAAAGGCCTAGGTGGTCTTGAAAGGACGCAGGTTGAGTCATCAAACTAAACAAATACATATTTTGATACCTTAATTCAGCTTTATTCAGGCTCACAGCGGAGACGGAACAAAATACAAATGGCTTTCTCGAACGAAACGCGAAGAATTCATTTAACGATGCAATATCAAGGCACTGGTGGAGTCATTTCCATCAAACAGATCAATTACCAGCTGCTGTGTCTAAATTGTTCCAGAATGAAGTAGCTAAAGTTGTTGAAAACCTTTTAATATTGTAGTACCCCCAATAGCAGGTGGTCGGATTCTCTATAATTAATAGCCGCTTTAGTGAGAGAGATTCTCTGAAAAAACATGTGAAAGTGAAAAACTGAAATCTGCTTCTTTTAAATGACAGGCTCAACGATTGACTGAAGCCCAGCGTGAAGGTAAGAGTTGCAGAAATGTAATAATAAGGAAAAGAGAGATTTAGAATCACTCACAATTTACAATTTAGAGCCCGCGGTTAGTCAGTGGAGAAGCCTGAGAGATGCTCTACCCGGCATTCTTTTAGCTTAAGGGCTTATCTATGGTGACCCTAACGCCTACGCCACTATTACATTTATTCCCGAAAAATATTTGTAAACTGTAACAACAAAGGTGCGGTTAAAAGCTTTAAGTAGGCCCAAACCTCAACTCAACCCAGGATTAGTGTTTTTATGTCCTTCCTATTAGTCTACAATACACTCTTTTCCACAACCTATATCTCCTAGCTAATTTCGTGATATTCATTAACCTTTCTTTCTTTCAAGAAATAGAGGCAGCCTTCAAGCTGTTCGACAAAAACAATGACGGGCATATCTCGGTGGAAGAGTTAGGCGAAGCCATGAAGCAAGCTGGACAGGAGATGTCAGTCGAGGAAATTAAAGACATGATCAAAGCAGTGGATCGCAATGGTACAAAAACTACTCTCTTCCTAGTTTTTAAAAGGAAGAAGGAAGAAACGTGTATAAATGTCTAAAACCTGGGATAAAAAAAAAGTGTGCTATTCGAGAATATTACGATCTCAGTTGTAATCTGAATCCTAAACTTTTTTTGAGGCAAATGTTAAAGTCGGATGGTGAGTTGTTAGGGAAGCCTGATGAAATACTGACTTGCGATGGACTAGCATCCAGGGGGTAGTAGTAACACTCCTAGTCCCTTCATGCCAAGGAGACCGGGATAAGCTCCGATTGGGTGGGCTACTAAGCTTGAACACAGACTTTGCCTTTGACCGCGGTATGATCTGATTTGTAATGTTCTTATCTTTGTTTTCTATTTCTCCTTTAGGCAATGGTAAAGTAGAATATAGTGAGTTTGAGGACATGATGGCCAGCCAAATTGGAGAACCGATGACTGGTGACGACCTCAAGTATTACTTCAAGAAGTTTGACACAAATGGAGATGGCTTCATAACAAGTGACGAGCTGGGACTGGTGATGAAAACGTTTGGCGGCAAAACCTACTCAAAGAAAGAAATCGATGACATGATCAAGGAGGCTGATACGGATAGCGATGGAAAAGTCAGTTATGCAGGTACTTCTTGAATGAGAGCGGGACTTGGGCCGAACTTTTAGTCAACCCCTTTCCCAGGTCTCTACCTTTTCAATTACTTCCCGCGCTTTTAAAGCAATTTTTTAACATAATCTTGAATTTAAACTAGGATTCCTCGTTCTTGCTGTACCCCACCCCATGGTTGGTCCATGAGACTATCGCCAGCCACCTGAACAATCTGATATAACACTGAAAAACATCGTGACTTCGTCTCATCCTTTTTCTCGCGTTTCAGCCAGTTTCCTAGTTTTTACCTGCGTCTCTCAGGGTATCATTCTTCATTCGATTGGCCGTTTTGATTGCTTTGGTGTTGGAATTACCAAACTCAGTCGAAACACACCCTGGAGGATTCAAGTGATCTTTCCCTTTCGTTATCAAATGCCGCTCTAGCATTAGCAGTGTACATCACCGACGCTTATTATCTTTTGTTTCGCGGAAAACTTGTAAACTAAATTTACGACTTAGCGTTTCGTCCATGTGAAATAACCTGATCTATCTATTCTGTCTATGCTAAAAACGATCTTTCTTTTTTTTGACACGCAGAATTTGTTGTCATGGTTACACAGAAAGGGCAATGATGCAAAGTGATGACAATGGAAGTGGTTCGCTTTACTTTAAGTGGTGGGCTTCAAGAGGATTGCCTTTGTCACACTGCTGTTTAACAGATTCACGTTTCTTGAGCTGGCACAAGTAGTGTGGTATACTAAACGAACGACAGGGAATTTGTGTGTTCTGTCGATAGAGACTGAACTCTAGAAGCATAAGAATATGTGTAGCTATATTTACTAGGTGATACTGAGGGATTAAACTTTTGTCTTTCTCCAAAACGTTTCTGTTTTTTTAAACTATTTTCGACCCTCAACTTAATATGTACCTATTGACTGAGTGGGAGAGCCGGTTCTGGAAACCTCCGTTTTTTTCGGGGACCGAAAACTCTACGGAAATAGCGGATGTGATTTCATATCCATCTGCCTTAGTGCACAAGGGATTTCCTCCGTCCAGGTCAAGGGATCACATTTTATGTGTTTTGCCGAAAGCCTCTTCTCGACACGATCTCAACAGGACCAACTTCCTGTCTCGGCTAACAGACTCCGATTGTGGAGGGCTAGGCTCCAACAGATCTGACCACGTGCCTTTTGACAAATGATGATAACTTGATAACACATGCCATATTATCCCCTGTTCTAAAATTCTCATCTTTTGTCCTTTTTCTCCCTTAAATCATCTTTCCTTCTATCACCGTCATTGTGTTTTGATAACTTCCGGTGTTTATGTCGATGTTTTTTGCTCTCTTTCCGTTTATGTTTCACCTTGGATTTTTTAAGTCTTTTTTTTCTGTCTTCATCACCAGAACCTTTGCTGCTTTTCTCTGAATCACTCTCGCTTGTTGTTGACTCTTCAAGTAAGGCCTTGAGCTGTTGTATTCTGAAAATATTAAGATTACCAACTGAAGCTGCGATATGTTCCTTGACTGATTTGGTAAGATGAAGTGGCATCACCTGATACAGTGACATATTCTGATGTGATATTGTAAAGTGACTTTGCGAGTCATGAAATGTTGTAAAATTCAATATGCAGAGCACCTCTTTCCACTAGGAAAACTTTCAGGGAAACCAGACAAAATGGCTGTGGGTTATATACATGTATATTTAGCATCACATCAAGCAGAGTGACCACAGTTCTGAACTGCACCATTTTGTAGTAATATGGATAAACTTCACCAGTGAGTGTAAACAAGGTCAAAAACAATATCCCACCTGCTTTCCTTTTCTGCTCTCTTTTTATCTTGAATGAACTCATGCATTGGGTCTTCATGTGCCTGATTTGTATATCAAAAATATTTTTACATTAGGGTGCACAAAATGTACATGTTTAACAGATATTGAAAAGTCATTCAAAATTTAATTCAAAACTTAACAACGAAATAAAATTTGTGCCTGCATTTCTTTTTGTTTACAACTGTATATTGTGAAGCTATTCCCTTGTTTCACTATCTTTCAAAGAATAGAAAGTTAGTTGTGTAACCAATCAGATTGCATCACTTATAGTGAACCCTAATAGATACTTTTATTTAATTAATATTAAGTAGTTTGTAGTTTGTTACTTTCACTAAAAGTACCTCTTATAATATTTGGTCTGTAGTTAAGTCAACAAGATCTCACCATTCGAAACTTTTCACTGTTTTTGTTGCCACTGATAAACAAGGGACACTCCCTATCACCTGTCCTGTGGCCATAGGCTTTACATCGCCAACCTAAAGAAGAGATCATTTAAAGTTTTAAACCCAAGTAAGTGAGTCTGGAGTTTATCCAGGTTTCTGAAGTGACTTGGACTTTGTATTTCTACTCCTGTGGATAGGATGCTAGTTCACTGCAGGTTACCCCCATCCCCTCAGCATTTGCCAGGTTCCTTTGACAATTTGTTGGTACCCATTTACTCTCTAGGGTGGAGAGAGGCACTGTGAAAGTCAAGTTTCTTGCTGGAAAATACAACATAATGACCCTACTGCACCTCTAGACCTTGAGCCCAGCTCACTGACTGTTAAGCCACTTCTTCTCCCACAAAAGCCAAATGAAATGAAAAAAAGACTTCCAAATTTTGCCTGATTTACGCACTACATGCTGTACCTGTTTTGGTCACACAGCCATTAGCAACAAAGGAGAGCAGGGTAAGAAAGCAAATGAAGGGCTTACACTTCCCTCACACTTCTCCCACAAAGGAGAAGTGTGAGGGATACTCTATAACACCCTTCATGAGAAGAAAACTCTTGTAATGTACACTCAAGAAGATCCAGTTTCCAATATAACTCACACTTCATAACTTTGACCTCCTTTCCAAGTGGCATCCATAGGCCTTTAGTGGGGGCATGGGAAAGAAAATCTCTTGCACTCTGGTTTTCAGGTAAATCAGGTATACATTCTTCTGGAAGCTCTTCTTTCTCCTAGTTGAAAAGGAGCCATCAAAATCATCATGAATTTGCATTCCCAACTTACCATACAGAGACAGCAAAGGTTAACTTTTGTTAGGGTATTACTGGCAACACATACTATAGATACTTAGTCAAGTGAGCTATTCATTGTCATGGTCGTAAAAATCGGTTGGTGCGGTAATGTTGCAACATGGTTGCTGGCAGGTCTGTGCTTTTCTGCCAAGTTACTCTTCTGCAATATGGAAGCCCACGTAGAACATTCTCAAAAACTGTAAAGGACATTTCTAAAATTTCGCAAAAGGGAAACTCTGGAATAAACATAATAGGTGCAGAAATTTTACTTTCAAATCTCTCCAAAATGAGTGTTTAATTACGGAGCAACTTAACTTCCAGCGCAAGACAATTTACAAACAAAATGTTAGATACCAGTCTCTTACCTTTATGATCCCTGGGGGTGGCTGTTCATAGCTAAAAAGGCAAGCACAGTCATGATAACACGCAAATATAAATTCCATTGGAACTGAATGTATTTCAACCTTCGCAGATGCCACAAATTCAAAATTTGCTAGCCTAACAATCTCATGGTCAAAATATTCCTTCCCGACGCTAAAAATAGTTTGAGAGAATTTTTACCCTTACAATGTTTCATAATGTTTAGCCAGTTCTATTTCTTGATTTTCACTACGTTTCCTCTTCTTTCTTTCCTCCTTTCTTTCGCCTTTTCCTCTTTTTCTATCTGTTTTCTTGTCTGACGACCTGTCCGCCATGTTGTTGTTGATTGCAGAGGTAGACCGCTGACTCATACCTAAGTACATTTATACGTGCGAACAGCATTGTGGGATATCTAAAGTCAAGATGGCGGCCTCCTTGCGAGTTGTTTCTCGACGACTGTTTGCCAGAAACAACCTCCGTGGCGTCGTGGCCCTCCACTTTTCGGCTCCAAATTCTGCTTCTCCAGATAAAGTGACTCACACTGGACAGGTGGTTAAGGATTTCGCTTAATCACGGCACAGTCAAAATTTTTAATGACTTAAATGACTTTTGTGGGCACATATATCAGACTTATAATGCTAATTAAGTTCTCTGAAATTTGTAGCAATGGGAACCAAGCGATTACAGAATGGCCCGCTTTACAGACAGGCCAAAGGAGGTAAGGCATTTTTATTTACAAGTACGGTATTACAGGCCAGCTTTGGCGCAATAAAGAGCTGACTGGGTGGTATCATCAGTAAACATTTTAGTCATATTGCATCACATGCAGTTTATCGTGCAACTTTAAGTTCTAATTTTCGCCTACCTGTAGGTAAATGAGAAGTTTGCAATTGACCTGGTCGCAGAAGAACCACCAATTGAGATTCATGGGCGTTTTGTATGGTGTGATGGAGGTTAAGTCTTCTTCCTTGCCTTACTGCTTTGTATTGTTTGAACCTAAGAGTGATCGGTATTTGTGTAGTCTGATGGTGTGGGCAAGATTTTAAAAAAGAGTTTTGGGCAAGATTTCCGCACAGCCCCATACTTCATTATTCATACAGTGCTAAGATAAAGAAAACAATGGTGAAAGCAATGATTGCCTGACGAACTGCTGCTTTGTTTTACTATAGAATGGGTTTATATGGAAATCTTTCCGACCTTTGCTTTAACCCCATATAAAAAGGAAGTCTTAGGATTAACAGTAAAGAGTTTTTTTTGTCATTTTTTTTATCTACAAACTACATGAATAGGAAAGTATGGGGTTATAAGGAAATCTTGATATCAGACTGTTTTGAAAACTTGAGTTAGAGTCATTGAGGTCTCTGTCATTCACTTTTGCCCACAACTGTCTTGGCAAGATTATCTTTACTAAGATGATCAGTCCTCAAATTCAATTTTAAAGCATCACATTACACTGAGCATGTGTTCTGTGTTAATTCAAATTAACAAATGTTTTAGAGGAAACACTTAGCCTGTTCTTAAATACTTTGTGAATCATTTCTAGCTGCACATACAAAGTCTGCATGGTTTGTTTTGTTTTTTCCTCTGTCAAATGTACCTGTTTGGCTTCTTTCAGACTTTTAATGTTTTATATATTCGGGAGGCAGAAGAAGAGATTTACTCTCAAAGTCGGAAAACTTTGGACACTTGATGTAATTTGGGACTGTAATGTTTGTTGTGTGATAACCAATCACACTGGAGATCATTACATACAAACAAACCACAAATTGATCCACTTATCACTCTTACTCACTGATTAGTTTTCTCACATCTGATTGGCAGGTATTTTTGCCCACTTATTTCTGAGTTCACAGTGATCCTGGATAAATAAAAGTTGCGTATCATTATAAGCTGTGAAGAAAATTTGATTTGCTTGTCTCCTAATTCTTATTATCTTAGGAGGAGGACCTCTTGGACATCCTAAGGTGTACATCAACTTGGTAGGATTTACTGTATTTTGTGCAAATTGTCTGTCTGGTAAAACAAACCTCTGCATGTTTCATGTACATGTACATGTGTTGTGTCTTGATGCTCCCCCCCCTCCCCCTCCCCTCTTCTCTGCTTGAGGGAGTATCTGTTAATGGGATAAGAGCACTTACAGACAGATTGTAAGGTATAGAATCTGTCTTAGTTTTCAATTTTTATCACAATAACAGATCACAGTTTTCCACACCTGTTTTCAATAATTCCTTACATCAACTCTGTAACTAACAAACTGATTCACTATTGTGGGGATTATTTCCCTTTAACTATACTAAACGTTTTTAGATGTTAGTATGGCAAGATTAAGGGATAAGGTTTGTTAGCTTATTGTACAATGCCATGCTTATCAACTGGGTGGGAAGACCCTCCTAACAGTCAACAAGCATTTTATCACATGATGGCCCCTTTTCCTCTTCTTCTTTTCATGCACTTCTTTTTTCCCACATCCCCTGCTCACACTGTCCTATATGGTCCTCTTATCAAGATTCTAATGATGTTTATGGGTAATTGGAATTCTGTAAGAATGCACTACACAACACAAACAAATTAATGTTTATGTGCTGCAGGACCAGGAAGGACCTCACGCCTGTGGTTATTGTGGATTAAGATATGTCATGGTTGCTGATCATCATTGAAGAAAGACGATGGACCTGCTGCCTAATGTTACTGTTAAGTAACTAAGAGAACTTTGAATGACAATGTAAATACAAGGAGCTGGGTGACTGTTACTGGAAATCAGTTTATATTATTTTGTCAATTTCTAACTCATGAAGACTTCTATCCTCTTATGAGAGGCAAATTAAATCATTTTTTAAGGAAACAATTTCACAGACTGAAGAAATTTTGGAAGAGGGGTGCCAGAACAACTAATAAATGGTTTGAAATCCATATTCCTATGTACTACTCTTCTTTGTGTTTTGTATTGTGTGCTGTTATTTTATTAAGTTAATAAATTTGTCTTGAAAAGGAAAAAGAGTACATGTACATCCATTCTCAATTATCACAGCATTGTACTTTCTCAAAAGCCTTCATTCCCTCCTTACCAATTAGGTGTGGATCAACATGATACCATCACCAATTGACTGTACTCAACATCTGTTTACTACAGTATGCTGTAATAATCTAGAAATTTTGGACAAGATGCTGAACCTTTGTGAGATTTCCTCTTATTAGTACTATTCAGATGTTACTCTCAATACCTTTAAGCTTCACTGGTCATTAAACCTTTGACACTAAGAGTTATAAGCATCTAATTTTCCTAACAGTATCCCCCCTGAAACAGAAATAAAAATCCTGAGAATGAAGGAAATTATTGCAGACTCAAGAAGTTCTTGATTATTAAAAAATTATCCTTTTAAATACTGTAAGAAAAGTATAGAGAACATGCAAAACTGATGTTAGGGTGTAAAGGGTTAATACTGTCTCCTGGCAGTCACTATGTGGTAAAACATCAAAAACGTTTTTGCCTAGTCTTAATCAACAACTGCATTCTTAAAACAAAGATCATCTTTTTAATAATTTTTGATCCAACTGAGCTGGCAGTCAACAATCTTTATAAACTAATGAAATTATTTTACACTTGAAATACCTTCAAAATAAAATTTGTACTTTTTTTATATGTTATTATATAAACCCTGAAAAGGTATCTACACATTCAACAAATTCTTAGCCAAGTGTGGAGAGCGAGAATGTTTGTTTATAAAATGTTTTTGTTGTACGGTCTTGAACTGGTGTAAGAGTTCCTTGAAATTTATTCTTTGAACATGTTCACGCAATGGGAAGTCATGTGCACCATGAGTATCACTGAAATAAAAGAATGGAAAGGAAAAAAAAAATAGCATTAAGTCAATCATGCACCATAAGTCTTACAATCCTGAAAAAAAAAGTAAAATTTGTACACTGACCAAGTGGCCTACCCAGGAAGAGCTTATTCTGGTTTCTGTAGCATGAAGCAACTAGAAGCTTTTCCATCCCCCCTGTATGGGATGCTGGCCCATTGCAGGTTACTCCCCCCACTCCAATCAGCATTTTGTCAGGTTTTGCTTACAGTTCACCAGGAGCCATTTAGATTCCTGGGTGGACAGCAGCATAGTGAGGGTTGTGTCTTGCCAAAGAGCACAACACAATCATGCACCCTGCCTGTTTCTAATGCAGACCTCTTGACTTGATTGGGCTACCTTTCAGTTACAGCATCTCTCAAATATGCATGCAGGCTCCACCCAAAATAGTGTTTTTGAATATGCAGGTGATGGTAGACATCATTGACAAAGGATGGCCATCAAATTTGGGGTATCAAGTACAAGGGACTTGGAAAAAAGAAAAATCTAAATAGCTGACGTCTCTAAGGGTTTATCATTTCTGCCAAAGGCAAACTCTCATAACAAACTTAAACATGGAACAAGTATCATAATTAACTACAGTGCTTATCTGAAGAGAATTGACTTTATGGTGAACTAAAATCATCAATAGTTACTTTTAAGGTCAGTCAAAACCTTTCTTGAAACAGAATTTGTGAATTTTACCTTATGCCAGATGGCAATGCTCTTCCATTTGGTACACAGTCTAATCTGTTTCTTAAGGTTGTAAAAGCATCACTTTGTGGAAGGAGCATCAGCAAGCCATACAAGGACTTCAAAAGAAAATGATTTTTTTGTGTGTCCAAAAGCTGGAGACGTAAATCTGTAAAAAAAAAAAATACCCAACTGCATCAAATAGAGTACAAATAACCAGCAACATTGTGTGGTTAACTGGAAAGTTGTTTACTTTATACTGTAATCTGACCTAAGTTTTATACAAGAATTGTTGCAAACTGCCCCTCTGTTTGCTTTGCTTTTGTTTGTAGTTTGATGCCCGTTGCAGGCCCATCAAAATAGGGCACAACTTGTAAAAGTACTCAGCCATACTACTCACCAAAATGTCTAATGTGATTATGTCTTACTTGGAGCAATGTACTGAGTGTCAAAAGTAATGCAGGACAGCACTTGTTTAAATTAATTTTCCTTTGCAATTGGTGAAAAAAACCACCCTCTCAACTAATCAGATGCATGCTACCCACATGTAGAACTAGTCAGGACATTATACTGTTTACTCTTACTTTTATTAACAGCCAAGAGAAAATCACTGATAACATTAATGAAAATCAGTTCTACATCGTCAGCCTCCAACTCTCAAGAGAAACTTATTTTAATTTCTTAATTCAAATTGATAGCAAAGGTATGACTCACATGTGAATATTGGAGACTCTATAAGCTGAACCAACTTATCAATCTGAATAAGAAACTCAACATTTACCTCAAGATGTCCACTGGTAAAAATTAAGTCAAGGAAATTTCTAGAGGATGTTGGCTTTGAAGGGTTTTCAGAAAGAAATGGTTAGCTGGATGATAGTGTAAAAGAACTGGAAAGACTATTCTACATGAATAACTAAAAAATAGCCCAGGTCAACAAAATTCTCCAATTTCTAAAGTGCTATGAATAACCTAGCTATCATGAAGGAAAACTTATCTGATATTCATCCTAACACCCCTCACCCCAATCAAACCCATCACACTACCAATCTCAATTTCTGCTGTATGAAGTGACTAATCCATCACAGGTAACTCCAAACCCCTTAGCCTTCAGCCCCTCCCTCCCCTCCCAATCACTCCCACCCATTTCATCTGTTTTCTGCATTAGACAAAGTTTGCTTGTCTGTTTCTACTCTTGAGTGGAGGGAGGCAGTGCACTGAAAAATGAATCCAGAGTTAGTATCTGGGCATGACAAGGATACAAGATCATAAGCAGTTCACAGGCATGTTGGTAGTTCTGTGTCAGTAAACACAGGGATACTGTTGCCACAGGGTTGTGACACCAAGACTGGTATAGACAACAGAAAAGAGAACAGCTCTCCTGAAAACATAAGAATATCATGATCACAGTTAATCAACCAGTAGTTAATTATCTCCTAATCATTGAGATAAGCCAAAATGAAAAAAAAAAATGTAATGACTCTGCTTACTGCTGTTGCCAGCTCCCTTAGCTGATCTCTGAGGTCAAACAACTCACTGGAAGTGAGTAGAATCATATTCAAATACCGCACCATAAGAGATGCAAATTGGAAGTCACTTTCTTGAAGGAGAATTTCTGACATTGCTCTGTATATGTCCTCTGCATTTAACAAAAGACAAAGCTGTCTGTAAAAAAGAAAAAAAGACAACAACTAAGCCTAGTACAAAACTCTCAACATTCAAGAAATTGATCCAAAACAATTGCCTTAAAAGAGATAAATAGGCAACTTAAAGTGTAGCTTCAACATTTAAAATGATAACCACCAAACTTTCAACAAACCAGGAGCACATTTCTTGCAAGTCCTGGTAACTTTATGGGCATAAAGCCATAATTTTAAAATCAATATTTTAAGAACAGAGAAGTGGGTTCTGGCATCCTAACTCATCCAAATTTTGTTTCTCTCACTATAGCTATTGCTTCTCTTAGCTATTTTAAGTTTCTCTATCACATAATTTTCAAAACTTTTGCAACCCCAACCTTAAATGAAAACAGAACTTCAAGAAAAGGGTCCTAGTACAGTGCATTGTCAGCAAAGAGAAAGGGAAGGCTTTTTTTAACATACCCCATCAATGCCAAGCCAAATTTTTTACCAAATCTCACAAACAATAAGGGCAAGCTTATGATAGAAGTAGAATGCTGCAAAAATTGTTACATACAGATATATACAGGCACTTTGTGATGTCTACATGATTTGTTAATTTTTTTTTTTTGCCAATAATGTTAACAATATATCAACTACCAACTTGTGGATGATGCATTACCTCAAAATAAAAGAGCCTCTCTCCTCTAAAAGTTTCCTATCAGTTCTAAAAAGGGACATGACATTGTTCATGAACTTATGAAAGTATTTATTCAGCTGCCTGTGAGGGGCTGCATTCTGCTCTGAGCCTGGCAAGCTACCTTCAGACATGCTTTGAGAGGGACTGTTCCTTGGAGGACCAGCTGGAGAGGCTGAGATCTCTGCAAGTGCTTCTAGGACAAGAAGAACAACCTAAGGAGAAATGTAACCATTATAATCTAAGTTACACATTGACACAACATTAACTATTAGTCCAGAGTCAACCATGACCCCACTGGGCCTCTCTTACCTCATCTGATGGATCTGACAATGTCTTCAAAAGTTCTGGGAAAAGCTGCTCAATTTGACCAAATATCTGCAACATATTTCAAATGTTTGTGCAAGTGTACAGTCACACAAATAAAGAAAAGTTTAGACTATGATTAACTGAGAATAGCACTATATACATCCTACTAGAAAAACCCTGCACAATGTGACTGTGAGACTGAAGCACTCATTTTCAAAAGAAAGGCCAACTTTCTCCCTTTCACCCTACGTCCATCAAGCCTATCTAATTTGCCTATTTGAAAACTATTCAGAAAGTTCTGACTCTAGAATCCACCTAAATCCTTGGCTTAATTGCTATTATACTAGTTTTCTAAAAATGCTGTTAGTGCAATCAAATGGCTGCAAAGTAAAATGTGTGAAGCTAAGCCTCTATCAACAGAGTTTCTTCAACATAAAAATGATATTGAATAATCCACGACAGTAAGACCCACCTTGTTTGGTGTCTTCATGTGAAGCAATAACACCCATCGTAAAACAGCTATTCTGGTTTGTATAGACTTATGTGATAGCTGCACTGTTAGCACATCTACTACAGGGCCAAGATCCAGCTGAGTTTGAGTTTGTGGCTGTACAAAATCATTGTCACAATCCATAGACACAGTGTCACTATCAACATCCTTATCATCGTCTTCTGTAATTAGTCGCATTAGGCTTTGATTGACTGTCTTGGCCACCTCTTTGATATGTGGATAACTGTCAAGGACAGAACTCTGATTCATGATTAATTAAGAAGTCTAAAATGCTCAGAGGTACCTGTCAATATTATCTGGCATATAGAGCAAATACATCTGCGTGAGAGGCAGCTCTACTAAGAGTGCTGGAGGCTGACTTTGCAGACTCCTACCATGGTACCAGAGGAAAACTGAAGCACAAAGGCAGAGAGAGTAGGGGCAGTTGGGTTACAGGAAATGGGAAAGTAAAGGGAGACATGCACAAACATTTGCAATTCACAAGGGGACATGAAAGTCATAGGGGCAACAGTAATGGGAGTAGGGGGGGGGGGGAGCAAAACTTT